ATCAAGGGAAAGATAACTCTGGGGTGTCTCCAGTTGTGTTGAGCTCACCGGGAGTGGAACTGCCTCACCACATGAGAGGTTAGAGTCAGTGGGAGGCTCTGATCCTAGGACCCAGTCTATGGACACAATGGGTCTGACTTTGATGTTACTATCCTTGTTTTGAAATCTTATATTCTGACCCTCCAGAGCACTAGCTGTGCCATCGTGTTATGTTCTTTGCTGGAATTCAATGGTTGGCTTAAGAACATCTCAAGCTACTTTGACAGAGAAAACTTCCTCATGTTTGACCATCATCAGGTAATACACAAATTTCTGGAAATTAACCACTAATACGTCCTCTAAAAGAAGTAAAATGCCCAGGACAACCATCCTGTCCACACACTGGTTTCCTAAAACAGAGAATTCTAGGACGTTAGGAGTGGATATTTATGCACAGCTCAGAAAGATCTGTCTACTCTTGCTGGCACCCATGATGTAGTGTTTCTCTAAGTGTGGATGAGATGTCACCTGTTTCAGATTCACCAGATTTTTGGGCCCAGCAACAGATCTATTGCATCAAATGTTAGGGAGTTGGTACCTGGAATTGCACACATAAGCTTCTGCAGTGAACCATGGGCATGTTAATGTTTAAGAACCACAGTTTCAGACTACTGTTAGTAAAAGAAACTCACTGGCTTTCTTCCTGCTTCCATTCTAATGCTCCTAGCCTGCTGCATACCGTGGACTCGGTTTCAACTCATAGTGACCCTGTACAGGGTTTCTGAGGCTGAAAATCTTTACGGGAGCAGAAAGCCTCATCTTTCTCCCACAGAACAGCTGGTAGTTTCGAACTGCTGACCTTGAGGTTTGCAGCCCAATTCATAACCACTACACTACCAGAGCTCCTTGCTTCTAACCTAGCCTTCCCTTATTTACAAACCCTAGGCATCTGCTCTAACCCTTAGACACACCAATCCCTAATCTGTATCTATCTAATAAACTACCCATAAGCTTTCTTCCCACTTTTCGTTCATAGGTATAAACTGCAGCCAACAGAAATAGTGGTTATTCCAATATCACTGGAAAATCTATCAGAAAATCTACCAATTTCTCCACAATCCTTTCCTTGACCAACTCTCTATGTCCTGAAGAATTGTGAAGTTAGTGCAGGTCGGAGAAGAGAGATGAGAGACGAAAGAAAAAAAACAACCAGAAAGTAAAGCAAGTCCCACTTCACTTACCACGCCCAAGGTAGGCTTCATACGTCATCTACACTATCCTTTGCAGTGGAACTTCCTTTTTTTTTTTCTACTTCTGCCCATTCTTATAATCAGAGAGGTACTCGCAGACCCATTACCCAAACTGAAGCAGTATATTGAGGAAAGAAGATTTGAAACAGGATCTCAAGAAATTCTACTCCATTCTTCTCTTTTTCCTTGAATCTCCTATAAATTATTTCTCTCCTGGGCTTTTTGTAGTCTCTCTCTCTCTTTCTTTTAAGTTCTTGTAATTTGCCTTGGTGCTGAGTTGGGTTTTGACAGTAGAGTCATTGACATTTGCAATCTAAATCTCTCTAGGACTGCCCAGTTGATAAATTGCAATGAATTTATCAAAAACTAGTAACTGCTGAGGTAAGAATGCCTCAATGTTACATCTCAGCAACATGAAATAAACTACATTGTGCTCCATGTCCTTTAAACTCAGTTACTTAGGCTTTATGTTCAAATTTGCACTCTTGTATTTTGAGTGTTTCACTATTCTTAGGACATTGTACCTCTTTGGGCATTACTAACTTTTTTCCTTGTCAAACGGTTCTATCAACAACTGTAAAGCCTTCACTACTTATTTGACAGTTAATTTTAGTTAACTGCCCAGTATCTTTTCCTACCCTGATAATTTCCTGGTTCTAAAAATTCTGCTAGTGGGAGACACTAGAATCTTTGTCAGCTTTGTACAGCTCTTTCTTCTTCTGAATCCTACCAACATATTTCACAACTGTGTTATTCATTGACTCTCTTCAGGACAGGAGGCAGTGGCTCACTTTTGCCTTTTTCCATTCTGCCCCTATCAGGTCTGTTGCCTTCAAAGTCTTCACAACTGAGGGACCTCACCAAAGAGCATAGTGTGCTTTAACCAATTCCACATCTCAGAGGTAATTCGGGAATGTGTGTGGCAGAACAGCCAGTGGAACAGAGGACCAGGTAGTGCTTAGGTTATGCATCCAAGGCTCCATTTACTCTCTGAATGAAAAAGACACTTTTGCAATATCAGGCTTGGGGAGGGGCTGTTGCTTCCTTGCTAGGTTCAATAATTCTCTGAATCCAGGATGATTCTGCTCCCTGGAAATGAGCAGTGTCTTCATGAACAATGGGTGGCACTTTAGCGTTGGCTAAGCTCGCTAGTGCCAGGCCTCAGTTGGCTCCGTATAGCGCCACACCATTCCAATCTTTCCACATGACCATCCTAATCATCTTTACATTCCACAGTTATGCCTGGTTAATGCTAAGTTCAAGGAGCTTT